ATATTTTGTATCAGGGGTTCTGAAGGAAAGAGAAAGATGTCAGATCACTCACCAAAAATAACAATAAATGTTTCGCCCATCTCATATAAACCAAGCTAGATCATTTTAACTTTTTAGGGCACATAATGAGGAAAGAGGGCTTGGAAAATCTGAGACTCATGGGACAGATTGAAAGAAACAAGTAAACGATACATAACCTACCTAGCCAACTTGAGTAAATGAATGGCGAAACAATTTTTATCAGAGATAAAAAGACAATCTATTAAATGCTACGAAGGGCTGGAAATGGTGGAGAACCAAAGTCCTGAAGGGACACGGTGCATAACAAAAAAAAAAGAAGAGAAAAATAACGAAGATTATGATGACTGTACAGTTTTCACTATCATTCCTTCCATTAACCTTTGCGCCGTATAACACTACGTAATTGTATTTGGAATATAGGATCGGCTTATAAATATTGTAAATAACATGCATTAAACTCACCAATATGCCAGGTCTTTGCTGCATATTTTGAAACTGATCTGAGAAATAACGGCTGGTTTTATGATGAAATTGTAGTTACGTAATTATCGCATAAGAACGTTAACACGTTCATTGCCACGCGACTCAATCTGACTGCACGCTCTGCACTGTTCTGCATGCAGAAATGCATCTATTCCACTGTTTTTATTTTTCTAACATAAATAGATACTCTACGTGTTATTTTGAACTTAAATTTTAATATATAAAAAAATGATTTAAAAAAATGAAGAAACAAAATAATGCAGCTCTATAGATAAAAAAACGCTCATGCGGAGAATACATATTTAACTTTATTCGACAAACTTGGAGAAACGAGCCCGTAATAAAACGTGGCGTCAAAAGGACGCTTCCCCCTCCCATGTCACTGTTTTTCTTTTCTTACCTATTTTCAGCCTTTGTAAATATTTATGGTTTTAAAAATTGTAATAAAGCCTAAACATATGAAAGTGAATTTATACTATGCTGATCTATATCGCACATTCATACATACACTAAAACAAATCACATACAACGACAACCATTCATTGGTTAATAAATCACCACTACGTTATTATAGACAATTTACAAATCGCAGCAATGCGACAATTTTGTAATCGCTCTATTTTCATGTAGTCAATTTTGTGCGTTTTTGGGAGAAACGGATCCCAGAAGTTTTCTTAAGTCTCCTCAAAACTCGCTCGCAGATTGCTCAATGCCAACCAATCAGATCGACTGCACGTGAAGAGTAACTTTTCCCGCGCAGCGATCTGGAGCCTATAGTCAATTACATAAGCAAGAATTTTTCTTAGCTAATTAGTGAGAATTCAGCTGTCAAACGAATCCACGACAGTTGAAACCATGCGCCAACCTTCTCACTCATACACACCACTCAGATGCTGAACATACCTTGTACACACTCACATAATCTTTTCTTACACAGCAAAATCTTTTGAGAACAGTCATTATAAGAGACTCTCATAAACATTCTTCCAGTGAACTTTGGAATACTAAAATAACACTTAAAAAGAGACAACTCTTGTTTTATTCAATCTTTTCTTATTTAAATGCATGCTTTCTTTCACATCGTTGTTTGATATTGTACATCTTGTTAAATACATATTTTATGTGTGACGATGCATTTGGCTTATCCTTTTTCACGTCAGTTTCGTTTCGTAATCTAAAATTAAATTAATGTGATGAAGTCCGCCACCATACATTTTTTGTTCTTGAGAATTGACAGCAAAATAAAAATTGTTTATTTATTAGATTGTTTAGTTACAAGAAAAGTTTTAGATCGACAACATTCTAAAAACTAATACAGTTAACTAATATAATATTTTATCATTTACCAATTTATAAAGATAAATCCTTATTTACCATTTTATAAAGTTTGAATCAATGGTTTTCCCAACCATTCCAATAAATAGTGTAATTAAACGATCTAACAAATAATGTTCATAATTTTTGTTGTAAATTCTCTAGAACAAAGAAAATATACAAATTCCCTTTTATATTTTTAAGTTTTATTCGAATTCTTATCATCGCTTTTTAAAACAATAAACATTGCCGAAGAGTGACAGTAGTTTAAAATGCGGTGTCATGGAAAAACCTGACCTTTTGACATTACGTATTTTTTGCAGGTACAAAGATCCATGTTTACGTTTTATTCTTTATATGCTAGGTGTGATGCTAGGGAAGTTATTTCACTGTGTTGTGCTAGATAATTGTTCTCTACTGAATCAACCTTGCACATTTATAAGTGTACCATTTGTCCATGCTTTGACTATTGCTGACACATATTGCTTCTGATATGTATCTAGAGATTCTTGACAAAATCCAAAGCAGGATCTGCAATTTTATCGGTCCTGATCTGGCATCTCTGCTTCAGTCAACTTCCCACCGCCGTTACATAGCTTCCCTGTTCCTCTTCTATAAATATTTTCATGGTCATTGTTCTAATGAGCTTACCTCTTCGGTACCTAGATTTTACGATTTTAAGCGCAGTACTAGATTGGCAGTTATGTCACATCATTTTACTGTTAAATTACTAAGTGTAAGCGTAAGATCTATGCTAATTGTTTCTTCTCTCGCCTCTGAAACTTTTTTTCCGGTTTCTTGCTTTCCTGTCAACTACGATCTTCAAATATTTAAATACAACGTCAATCGTCATCTTGAATCAAAGTCATTTAATGTCCACTCAATGCTTTGTCAATTTATTTCACATTCAGTAACTCTTTGCGTATTAGTGGCTTTATCACCTTGCTTGGGTGAAATGTTCAAAAATATAGTAGATTCTCTCTTCTAGAACACATCTGCAAGCATAGTTGCCAATCTGGCCGACTTTTGAAAGCCCATCGCAACTAAACTTGAATTTCACTTATTGAAAATTTTCGAGGGTTTCTTAAGAAAAAAAAAAAAAAATAAAAAATAAAAAAATAATAATAATAATAATAATTATTATAATAAGCAGAGTTAATTTAGGTCACTCATGAGAAAATCAATTCAAAACTTTTCTTACCGCTAACCTTTCAGATGAATCCCGATGCAGTAAACCCTGATTAGTCCTAATATTTAGTACTCAAGTGTTTACTGGTATGACTGTTATATAGAATATCAATATTTGTCCCGCTTTGCGTCAATTGCAGTCTTTCAATTAGCATATGTGACACAATGCGAGAATCAGTTTTTAAAATCTTGTCTTGATATGTCATTCTGTTTCCTCTTGGTGCCATCAACGAATCTTGAATCTTTTCGAAAGGTCATGACTATTGGAAAAGATCAGCCAAGAATATTGACAAATTCCTGGAATTAAACCAGAAAGTCTGATATAAATAAAAAAAGAAAGTTGAAAAGCTGACCCGAAATACGTAACATCGTCTGTCGACACCCAGAGCCATGATTCGCCGGTACTAAGTTATCAATCATCGGTGCTGGACTGATTATATATGATAAAAATATTACTGCAATCTTAAAAACGTAATCGTAATCAAAATCCGCTACTCAAAGTTTCAGTTTTATTTCATTCTTTTAGTATTATTATAATATACTATATTTATGTTCTGCCAACTTTGGTATACATCCCTCGATTTATTTTATATTTTAAGCTATATATATATATATATATATATATATATAAAATCACCTTTATCACCTTCTGAAACCGTGAAAAAAGAGAGATGAGAGTTACATAGAATATTGTCACTTTGTCATTCAGTTACCTAACATAGTTCCAGTATATAGAAATCTATATATCATATTCTACTGCTTATATATATATATATATATATATATATATATTGTGTGTGTGTGTGTGATCCACAGACAGACTATTTCGCTGCATCACAGCTCATCAGTGTAGCTAGACATCAGATTGTCTCAAGCCAGGATCGAAATGCGACTGCATATATTATGTTATTAAGAGGGTGGCCGCCAAAAATGAATCCTAGCTGGACTTCTAATTCTTTTAAAATCGCCTCACCGGAAGTTTGAATAAGTCCGGTGAGTTGGGGAAAGTGAACATTAATGGATTATAAGTAGAATCCTATTTCAATTATTATTTTTGTCTTTATTAGTAACATTATACCGTGTTTTATCGTAGGTCATTGGTATCTCGACTACATGAATTTAAGCGAGCTACTAGACTGGTATTATATCTTTCATAGTTTTACTGTTGAAAAAGCTAGATGTAACCGTAAGTTCTATTCGAAGACATTCTTCTCCCGCATTTTTCGCTTGTGGAACTCTTGGTTTTTTGCTACCTACGTTTTTCAAAAAGTTAAATCCAACGTCAATCGTCATCTTCTGTCTTTCTGAAACCTTTACTTTTATTGTCCTTTTTCTTCACTAAGGTCTTCTCATTCCTAGTAACCCCGTTGCGTTTTAGTAGCATTATCGCCTTGCCTGGGGTGAAATGATGACACGCACATTATATATATATATATATATATATGTTTGTGCAAACTTCGGATAAAATGATTCCTCGACCCTCATATGCCTTAGCCAAGTAAAGGATAATGAACGAATATGTTTCACTAATAATGCCGACTATGGAATTGTCAATTTCCTGACTTTACCGAATTCTCAGCGGAAGATGATCTTCCTCGGGTTATAGACAAGACGACTCTTCTACAGAATGATTCGTATATCTCGTTGCCATATTATAGTTCCGACCTTCCGACCCGTTTTAGACGCTGTTCAGGTCTTCTGTGTGTCTGGTCATTATTGCATTGCCTTTTGTTGAGGTTTCAGTCATTTCGACGTCACAGATATTAAAGATACCCAATATACGAAAAGTATTCGGGTCAACAAAGAGCTTATTGATTATACCTTTCGGGTATTAAAGGATTTTTACAGAATACATACGTTTAATATCTAGAGGGTTAAACCAAAAGAAACAAAGTTCACTTATGAGGGGGTGCTAAAAAGTAACCGACACAACTTTTCAAAATGACTAATCATCAAGGGTGTCTTAAGGGCTTTTTGGTCGGGCCGAGAACATTTCAACCCTCATTCTTACACTGAAAAAAGAAAGAAGAAAAAAAAGGAGTAAAAAAAGGAAAACGGATAAAAATGGAACAAGAAAAAAAGAAAAAGGAAGAAAACAATAAAAAACGAAATATAAGCGAAAGAGAAAAATACACAAAGTTAAAAGAAAAGGAAATGAAAATAAGAAAAAACGATACAAAAAGAAAAAGGAGACAAAAAAGGAGAAAAAAGAAAAAGGAGACAAAAAAGGAGAAAAAAGAAAAAGGAGACAAAAAAGGAGAAAAAAGAAAAAGGAGACAAAAAAAGGGAAAAAAAAAAAAAGGAGACAAAAAGGAGAAAAAAAAAAAGGAGACAAAAAAGGAGAAAAAAGAAAAAGGAGACAAAAAAGGAGAAAAAAGAAAAAGGAGACAAAAAAGGAGAAAAAAGAAAAAGGAGACAAAAAAGGAGAAAAAAGAAAAAGGAGACAAAAAAGGAGAAAAAAGAAAAAGGAGACAAAAAAGGAGAAAAAAGAAAAAGGAGACAAAAAGGAGAAAAAAAAAGGAGACAAAAAGGAGACAAAAAAAGGAGACAAAAAAGGAGACAAAAAAAAAAAAGGAAACAAAAAAGGAGACAAAAAAAGGAGACAAAAAAGAAAAAGGAAACGAAAAAGGAGACAAAAAAGGAGACAAAAAAGAAAAAGGAAACGAAAAAGGAGACAAAAAAGGAGACAAAAAAGAAAAAGGAAACGAAAAAGGAGACAAAAAAGGAGACAAAAAAGAAAAAGGAGACAAAAAAGAAGGAGACAAAAAAGAAAAAAAGAGAGACAAAAAGGAAAAAGAGAGACAAAAAGGAAAAAGAGAGAGGAGAAAAGAAAAAGAAAAAAAGGAAACGTCGGTGTCAAGATGAAATGTGGATAACAGCTATATTCGTGTGGCAATACACACGTACTCAGTGTTATCATAACAATGGAATAATCTGTAAGAAGGAACGACTCAAGAAGCTTCTTTCCAAAAACCGCCATTTTGTGGAACAAACTCCAGCAGCTGCATGGATGCTTTCCGGAACATTACAATCTTAACGTGTTCAGTCCTTATCTATCCGTCATTTCTTCGTAATCTTCATTTACTCCTCTTACGTTCATATCACACACCTCACTCAGTAATCCTCCACCTTGAGTGGCTCTTGAACCTTGAACTAGACGAACAAAAATAATGGCTCTCATTTTGAGAATACCAATAAACTCATCCATAATATTCGGATTTTTGCCACACAAAAATAGAAATAGGGTGTAAGACTAGGATGTGTCTTCTCCCCAGATCTTTGAGGAAATTTTCCAGCATTCATAGGGGAGGACTAATGTTATGTAACCGTTCCGTTCTCTTTGTTTCTAACGAAATTTTTCTTTTTCTTAATGCTTTGCTTAGCTTTTAGGAAGCATCTTACGCTATCCCTGTCATACTTTACGTCCTCTGTTAAAATATTTCCGAGATATTTATTTGATTTTGGTATCTCCAATTTATAAATTGGGCTGTTGCTTTTGTCAATAATTATGCATTCTGGATTCTTACAATTGAAGTTTAATCCTTTCTTCTCGCTTTCCTTTCTGTGTCTGCTATCAACACTGTGCCGTCTGCATATCTTATGTTGTTAAGATGGTGGCCGCCATAATGAATCATAGCTGGACTTCTAATTCTGTTAGAATCGTCTGACTGGAAGGTTGAATAAGTCTGATGAGTTGGGGGATATTGAATGTTAATGGCTTATAGATAGAAAACTATCATCAATTGTTTTGTTCTTTTTTAGAAACATTATTCCGGGTTTTATGGTAGGTCCTTGGTATCTCGATTGCATGAATTTAAGTTAAATAATACATTGGTAAATACATGGTTACATCTATTTCAACAGTAAAACTATAATTTTCATTCGAAGAGTTTCTTTCCCCGCACTGGAAGGTTAAATAAGGCCGGTGAGTTGGGAGCAGTGAATATTAATGGGTCATAGGTAGAAATCTATGATTAATTTTTTTTTTTTTTTAAGAAACATTATACCGGGTTTTATTTCGCGAAGTTACTTGAAAAGCTACACAAAAATAGAAAGTGATGTAAGACAAGGATGTGACTTCTCGGACGTATTCAGCCTCTACAGTTAGTATATCCATGACTCATTATCGGTAGGCGTAATCTTAACAATCTAATATAAGCAGATGACACGGTGTTGATCGCCGACACAGAAAGAAAACTATGGGACCTCCTGGCCCAGGTTTTAAAAAAAAGTGAGAAAAAAAAAGTACTAATTAAAGTAAGAAAACAAAATGTATGATCATCAGCAAAAGAAAAAGTTCAAGATTGGAAATGTTAATATCAAGAAGTTTAAATATCTGGGGAGTGTTTTACTAGACGATGGAAAATATGGCACCGAAATCCGAACATGCATTGGACTAGCAAAAGACGTATTCCAAAAGGTAAGCAAAGCGCTGAGATAGAGAAAAAAATCGTTAGGAAAAAAAAAAAAAGAATGTTGGCTTGCTATGTGATATCGATCTTCTTATATGGAAATAAATGCTGAACAATCTCTCCATAGAAGAGAAAGTTGGAGGCGACAGAAGAAAACCGAGAATTCCTTGAACGGAGCGAATAAGCAACAAAGAAGTCTTAAAGAAAATGTCAACAAAAAGAATAATTATGCTCAGAATAAGAGACAGTTGAAGTAGCTTGGATATATAATGAGGAAGGAAGGCTTGGAAAACATAACCCTCACAGGATATTGAAAGCAAATGAAATAGGGAAAGGTAGCGAGTCACCTAGTTGACGGGCTTGTGTGTATGGATGCCGCAATGAGAGGCTGGTTGGTTGGCTCGGTGATGTCGTTTAGCGGCATATCGACATCTCTATGGGTTATTTAATGCCGAAATCTAAATATTTTGACCACATGTTCATGGCTTCAACAAAATATATTTTGAATGCAGTTGTACGTCTTCAATTAGATAAATTGTAAGGCTAGTCATTTTGCTATAAAATGTATTGTCGGTAAAATGCATTGCTGGTAATTTTGCTATGAAATGTATTGTTGGTAAAATGTATTGCTGGCCATTTTTTGCTTTAAAAATCTATTGTAGGTAATTTTACTATAAATAAATATGGTTTGTATTTTTTAATATATATAATTATATGGTTGGTAATTTTACTATAAAAATGTATAGCTGGATTTTATTTTTTTACTATAAATATGTATTTTTATACTTTCATATTGTTTTGATTTTATTTGTGGGCTCACTATTTACCCATTGCTGGGACCCTAACAGGTGCTACCACCACAGGTCAGGATGGATTTGGGAACAACAGCAATTAAGAATTAGTGAAGATGACTTGTTCGTACTAAACATTATTATTATTATTAATACACAGCATTCAATTAAAATGGACAAGTTTTTAATTAAGAGAAAAAATAGAAGACGGCGTAAAGAACAAACTCAAGTATGTCATTAAATGTTAAATTATAATAAACAGAAAAATAAATAAATATAAAATCTTTTAAAAATTTTAATTATTATCTTTTTATTACGAATTATAATAAATTGTTTTATTTTGTTTTAAAAAAAAGTATATTAGTTTCTTTTACTCTTTTTTTTTTTTTTTGATCGTCATAATTTAAGTGTTCCGCGGTAGTTTAACTATACGTTAAAGTGTACTGGGAGTTAAGATAAAAATGGTTGAAAAGCATTGTTATTGTTACGTTAAGCCATGGTAAAAAGGGCAGACTTTTAGGCGAGAGCCGACACAATGTGGACCGGAATTTTATTCAAGAAGGTGAAGAGAGAAAAAAGGGGTTAAAAAGAAAAGGATGTATAAGGGAAGTTTAACTATAGGTTCAAGTGTGCCGTGAGAGGAAAAAGTTTGGAAACATTGATCTACAGCAGAGTTTTTCAAATTGTGGGTCCCAGCCCTTTAGTGGGTCGCGAGATACATAAAATGGGTCGCGGAAAAAAAGATAAAAATACGCAAGTGAAAGCAAAGTGCAGAATATAAACAATTCTAAATAATGCACAACACTCATAAATCATAGCTAGTTTTTCACCGAGGTAAGCTTGGATTATATTTTATTTTTTTTAAATAAAATAACACAGACACACATTATATATATATATATATATATATATATATATATATATATATATATATAATAACCCGTCATTGACCGGGTCTTTCATTAATGGGAATTTTTGCCGTTCAGATGGAGCAGTTCAAGTTTAAAAGTTAGCCCACCCGAAAATCAATATCAGTAACAACAATTGGGTGCAACTGAGGCACATCCCCAAATGGGGGTTTAAAAATTTGAATGGGGGGTGGCCCTGAAAAGGAAACTGTATAATAAATACTATTATTGTAATAATTTAAACTATTTATTCTTATTAGAGATTTTATGAAAGATATATATCCCAAAACAGATAGTAAATAGTAAAACGTTGCTGAGAGTTATAATGGACAGGAAGTAGTGGAGAGCAATTATCGTCTATCATTTGGAAATGCATAAACAACATCCGATCTCACACACACACATTTTGAGAATATATATATATATATATATATATATATATATACACACACACACACAGAGGGTATCCATAAAGTTCGTGTGCAAAAGTTAAAAGACAGTAAAATCGACCTTGCTAACCGAACGCTCCTCTGTGGCCGAAACGGTTAAGGCACGTCAGGCTATATGACGGTTCCGTATAGGATACAGGTTCGATTCCTGTCGGAGGACATTCAGGCCGGTAAATGTTGTTTAATACTGTTTATTATAAACAGAGCATTTACTTAAATATTTGTATCTATAAAAACAATGTATAAACATAAAAATGTCTTAAAATAATTGTTGGACTGTGTCTATTTCATAATGTGTGACGTCATTTGTTTACATTTGGATACGCCATGAGCAGATATGAATGTACGTGAGAGAATCATGGAATATTCTATATATATATATATATATATATATATATATATATATATATATATATATTTTGTTGATGCTAAATAAATGCACTTAATGAAACGAGTTTGTCTGATTTATTACACGTATGGATGGGTCGCAATACAAAATGGGATTCTTATTGTGAGTCGCAGTAAAAAAATTTGAGAAACGCTGATATATAGGATAATTTTTTTTTTGTGACTTCGTTTGCTAATACATTATCTTTTTATTGTATCTACCAATGTCTCATGTACAAAGTTAAATAGTTTTCTTCAGGTGATATACGTTGGAATTTCGAACCGAATCCTTTATTTAGTCAATGGTGGTAGACTATTTTAATTCCACGTGCCATTCCTTTTCTGGGTATCTCAGTTTCAGTTAATTCCCTTTAGTAACACAACTCTCCAAGTTTTGTTCACCTCTGCTGTAGCCAGGTATTGAACTCACAGCTCTTTGGGTTGAGTCACTGGATTACTTCAGTCAACGCTTTTACCCACTGGGCAATGTATCCTTGGGGAAATTCCAACGTATATCACCCGAAGAAGGCCGGAGAGTACAATGGCCTATACATTGTGAATATGACAATAAAGATGAGGACAACAGTCCGAATAATGTAAATAGTGTAAATAGTTACAATACCTCATCTCAGAAATATAGACAGATCCTGAAGAAGGCCGGAGGGTACAATGGCCGAAACGTCGTGAATATGACAGTAACGATGAGCACAACAGTCCGAATAATATAAATAGTGTAAATACTTTCAATACCTCATCTCAGAAATATAGACAGATGTTAAATCAGTAAGAAGTTTTTCATCCCGCTGTTTGTGGTTTGGGATATTTCGTATAAGCTGACAGTGCCTACCGAATTAAGATAGCAAGAAAGCTTGACATACAAAACAATTCGCTTGTGTTTCGAACATGATTATTTTACGAGCGCTCAAAAAGTG